CATAGTAATCAATCTCCAAAAACAAATAAACCTTTTATAACATTAAAAAAGATTACATTTACTCTTTAATCTTATCTATTTATAAAAGAAAAAAAAGAGAAGAAAAGAAAAGAAAAGAGAAAAAAAGAGAAATTATAATGAAAAGATACAAGGAAAACACCATCAAGGGAAATGGTAACCTTATTTATTTATTTATTGAATGATTGAATTCATTATTCTATTCAAATATAGATCAATCACTATGGAAAATATGGGAAAAAAAGTGGGGAAAACATTCGATACTCATTTTATTTATTCAGATATATTTCTTTCTTTTAATTTTCTTTTCTTTTTTTCTTCTCTCATCATCTTTACTTTATCATGTTTATTGTTTTCTTTTCTTTTTCTTTTCTTTTTCTTTTTTTTTTGAGAAAAAAACTTTATTTACACATTTAATTGTAAATAAATAAAAGACGGTTAGATAATTTAATAGTTTTGACAATAGTCAAATAGATGGGATTGAAATAATTGAAAAGAGATATATAGAAGATTTATGTATTGGGAAAATTGGTAATGACACCCGCACACACTCACACACACACATACACATACACATACTCACGCGTGTACGTTGACGTAAGTAAACAATGCACGCGCACACACACACACATGCACATACACCATATACTACTTATATTACTTATTTAATGAATGAATGAATGAATGAAGAATAATGCTGAAGGAGTAATGTAACATGAGCGAGAGAACGAGAGAGAGTGGGCGACAAAGAGAGAGAGAGAGAGAAACAAACAAACACAAGCATAAACAAACAAACAAACAAACAAATTTAGTAAACAATATTCCATATTTACTTCTATATTTTTTTCCTCTTATTCATGGAATCATTTTTATCTTTCATGAATAGTGAAAAGAAAAATAAATAAATAAACAAACAGAAAAGAAGGTAGAAAGAGAATTAAAAGAAGAAAAAAAAAGGATAAAAAGCCATTAAATGAACTCCGAATAAAAAGGAATAAATAAGTGAATAGAAATAGAAGCATAGATCTTGAAAGCTTCTATTGTTTATAAGCTTTTAATGGATTTTAATTCATATTGTTTCCATTCAATTATGGATATAGATTTCTTAGACATAGTAATAATAATGATGTAATAATAATGATAATAATGTTGTTTATACATTTGACTGTATATGTTTTCAATTTAATGGAGATAACATTTAAAGTAACTGGAATAATGTAAATCGGTGAAGGTTGTAGTGTGTGTGTGTGTATGTAGACTAGCATTGAAAAGTTGGACGTAATAGACGGTCATTTCATCTTAGTATGAGTTCGCACACGGAATTCGAACCCAGGAAATTTGGTTTGACACGTGGATGCATAATCTTTAAACCACTGATCCAGCATCCAATGATGTTAATGTTAATCTATATTCAACAATCTGTACATCCCTATACTGATAATTTTCATGTGCTCATTAGTAACTAGCTTCAAGATGGAATACCTGGAGTTCTAGTGAGATGCTGCGAATAATAGAGTTCAATCGTGTCTGATGTGAGGTATTTACTGGCTGAAGACAATGGTAAATGGTCGCGCAACATCATGGATTGGTTGAAGTTAGATACTGACAGTGTTGGATGTCGGATCAGTGGTCTAGGGATTAGTTGTTCGAGTGTGAGACCGAAGGTGATGGATTTCAGTCGAAAATTATGTCATATACTTTTATGTAGATCAAAAATCGACTTAAAATTATGTAAAAACACATGTGTGTGTGTTTAAATGGTTTAATTTGTTCATTCTGGTTAGCGATTTTTTGAGAAAAATTGTTTTCTTCGGCGTGGGGTTGCCGACGGCAAGCCTGACCCTCACTTGTTATTCAGGCTGCGAACCGTAGTAGCACTAAAAGAGGTACAGACACAGGTCACGACAAACAACGTAGCAGCAGCCTCTGCATCAGTAGGCCTCAACATACACAAAAGAACAAGTAACATCCTCAAATGCAACACAGAGAACACCAACCCAACGATACTTGTTAACGACACCCTGGAAGATGTGGATACCATAAGCGAATGCCTACCGTGGGAGAAAATCAACCAACTCCCATTTGAAGAGAAAATTAGGAAAAGACACGAGTTGGACAGGACATAAATTGTAGAGGTCGTCAAACTGCATCACAAGGCAAGCGCTGACATAGAATGCTGGAGGCAAAGAGAAAAGGATGAATAACAACTGGAAATAAATGTAAAAGATTGTCTAGGACAGAGTGAGATGGAGAATGCTGGTTGGCCTATGCTCCTCTACGAGGAGTAACAGATGTAAGTAAGTAAGTTGTGCACGTGTCTTCAAATTGATAAGTTCATTCTAACTGGGTGTTTCTTCTTTTGACTACTATTAATCACAGTGTTGTCTCTGGTAGGTGTAGACTACGTGGTTGGGATCCGCGAGACATTAGCAACCGATGGTTAGAGACTTTGAATGACATGACTCAAGATCGTTTAAAATGGCGCAGGTGCTTCCACTCTTTGTGTTCTTCTGAATCCTTCATGTCCCTTTATTTTTTCTTTTTCCAAATTTATTTCACTGGATTATACTCGTCGGATAGTATTTTCAAACCCTAATCTTTCCAATTACTGCTTATACTTTTATTACCTCTATTATTATGGGATTTGAATGGACAACTACATCTCTGTGCTAATGTGGTATGACAACTCGAACTGATATATGTACGTACGAAGTTCTACGTTGTTGACTGATTCTGTTTTTAATTCAATATGATAATTATTCAGTGTAATATATGTTGTATTTCCGGTGTGCTATTTGATTCAGTATAACATTGAGTTGTATAAGTGTGCCCCGGTCTGATTTAATATCAAGGCTAACTGTTCCTGTTATCTATCTAGATATTTCTGTTACTATAAACGATTTAGTGATGAATGTAAAATCATCACAATTTCGATCACAAAAATAAAATCAATACTTTAGTTTAATGAAGATAACTATATTAAATCCCGTTTATTACTTATTGATACATTAAAGTGGATAGGACACAGATTGAGGAAAGCACCGAACTGTGTCACAAGTCAAACCCGTACATGGAATCTTCAAAGCCAAGGGAGAAGAGAAAGACCAAAGAACACATTACACCCAAACAAATGAAGACAAACATGAGAAGGATGAATAGCAATCGTATAGAATTAGAAAGGAATATCCATGAAAGAGTGCGTTGGAGAATGCTTGTCAACGGTTTATACTCCACTGAGAGTAATAGGTGTAAGTAAGTAAATAAGTACATTAAAGGAATATATGCTTGAATAGTCGATTCGTAAATCACACTTAAAAATGATAAATCTGTTTAATAAAGTGAATAATACATTCCTTATTGTAATACAGAAATAGTTTTATGATCAAAGAAAAGGTTAGGTAATTTCATAATATCAGATGGGTTTTGTGGATGTTATAGTAATTTCAATGGTTAAAATCATGAGTTAATTGAAGCTAGACCACCATGGAAAAACCTGGAAGCACTAGACGGCCGTTTCGTCCTATTGTGGGACTCCTCAGCGATGTGCATCCACGGCCTTGTCCCCTGAGAGATTCGAACCCGGAACTTGACAGTTTCGCACGCCAGCGCTTAATCTCTAGATCAATGAGCCGGCATCCAACGGTGTTGATGTCTAACTAACCCGCGAAATTAAGCGGCACGTCGTGTTATATTCTATTCATTACTTGTATTATTCAATCACATCGTATGAAATTCAAAATGAATCAACTTCTGATTATGTCATATCAGATATGAATAGTCTTAATGAAATTCTTAATAACTTTGAAGCAATTAGTATAAATGAGTAGTATTGGTTAATTTACTTTATAAGATCAATTCATACGACATTAGTAATAATTCATATGAATATTCAGTTACTTAAGTTAATGCCTATGGGCATTTTGATGTTTATCTTGTATACTTCATAATGATGATTTGGATAAAAGCTTTTTTTCATTTCTCCCCTCTAATATAGTTTAATCTAATTGTAAACAGAAGGATTTCTGTAGATATTATAGTAATGTTTTAATAGTTGAATACATGAGTTAATTGAAGTTAGATCAACATAGAAAACCTGGAATCACTGGATGATCATTTTGTCCTCTTCAACAGTACATATCCATAGGATTCGAACACAGGAACTATCAGTGTCACGAAGCGGAATTATGGATGAACACTTCTGAGGAGTCTCATACTAAGACGAAACGGTCATTTAGTTCTTGCAGAGTTTCCATGGTGGTCTAGCTTCAAT